ATTAAAGCCACATGATCCATGGGGGGATGGGTCCCCAGTGAGCCATGGCAGCAGAGGGTTGAATATCCACCCAGGGAAGAAGAGTTAGAATCGAACCCAGAATCATAGTGAGCTGTGGAAGGGGCTGGAACATCTGCATCCTCCATCAAGAGTCACAGCCAAAAAAGAGACCCATGTCTGTGTCAAGGAACCAAAATGAAGTCACCTATATGAGACTGGGACCCAAGCCTGTACCAACAGCTCTAGCTGAGCTGTTGACATGAGCTGGTTTAAAAGCACACACCCAGGGCTGGTGTGTGTGCTCAGATGGTTAGAGCGTGGTGCTGATAGCATCAAGGTCCAGGGTTCAATTCCTGTACTGGCCAGGAACCAAAAAACAAAAACAAAAACAAACAAACAAAAAAAACCCACACACCCTTATTGATATAAGCAGAAGAAATCATAAAATTGCCTTAAAAATAAATTTACATGTGGTTACTAGAGGTGGGGAAGGGGGAAGGGAATGGGGGTTAGGGAGAAATTGGTTAATGGGCACAAAGAATGAATACATTTTGTAATAATGAATATACTAATTATCCTGATTTCATCATTACATATTGTAAGCAAGTATTGATAGTCAACTCTGTACCCCACAAATATGTATAATCAATTATGTTCCAATTAAAAACAAAAAAAGTTTACATAAATTAGATAGCATATGAAGACCTATTAACAGGCTCTACAAATGGAAGAATTCATAACTGAAGAAACAAAGAAGCTAGAGCAATTGGAGAAGGACTTTATAATGAGTATTTTTAAAAATCCTCAAAGGGACAAAGGAGAGATGTGCACACACAAACTGAGAAGAGATATTTATAAAACAAAAAACTGGGAGGTATGAAAATGGACCAATTACATATCTTGGAAATAAAGTGTATCATTGTTGAAATGAAAACTCAATGGACAGGAAAAATAATAAACCAGACACAAATGAAACAAGGTAGTTAACTGGGATATAGAATTGAAGAAACCTTCCCAAACACAGGACAGAGAGATAGAGAACTAAAAAAATTTTTTAATTGTTTTAAGAAACTATATATATACAGTATATATGTATGTATATACAGGACAGAATAGAGATAATGGCAGAGATAAAGACCCAACAGAGAGTGGCTGAGATTTTTCCAGAATTAAAGGAAAACGTGAGTCTTCTGACAAAGTCCCACAGAGTGCAAAGTACAATAAGCAAAAACAGGTATATTATATAATATAATCCTGAACTTGTAACTAAATAAACAGAGCTTAGAAGGAAATACACCAAAGTGTCAGCAGTGGCCTCCGCTGTTGATAGCATTTGGAGCAAGATTTTTATTCTCTTCTTTAAATTTTAATGTACTTTCTAAATGCTCTACAATGTAAAGACATTATTGTTATAAAATGTCTGTGGAGGAGGAGCATTTGTTATTTTAAATACACGTATACACATAAACACACTTTTCAAAAACTCTGCCCTCAAGGGACTTACACTCTAGTAGAAGAGATGAGGTCTGTATAGAAATAACACAAGGCAAAATCAAGCAGTAACTGCCACAAATAGATGTAGCTACAATCTGAGCCTTGCCGTTTCACTCCATGGAGCAGTTAGGAATAAGGGGAGAAAAGGATTGAAGAACTGAGATAAAAACATAAAGATCTAGTCCGTATGCTGAATTTACTAGGGACTCACTGCAGCCAGAGTGTATTTCATTGAACAGGGTCAAAATGACCAAACCAAGAAAAGATTAGAATTTTATCTACATGACACATTATTTTTCACCTCTAATTTAATTATGTTGCAAGACCACCCACTGATACAAGCAAAAATTAACACCTCCATTGTAAATTAACACCACAAAAATCTGCTGTGGAACACCATTTCAATCACTATAAGGTTCCAAGGGAGTAGGCTAAGGGAAAAATAAAAATGTGGTGTGTGCATGTGTGTGTTCATTTTAACTGATAATTAAATTAGCCACCATCCTTATCCATGGAGCGCTATCAAGTGGCCAATTTAGAAGTGTGTTCTGGGCAGCTTTACCAAATCAACATCATCTTAGGGGGAGGTTGAGACTTTGTGGTCATAACACCATTGGCACACCCAAATAAAGCAGAATTTTAGGCACCATCCCTTGGCTGCTTCATTGGAGCCAAATAAACCACACTCAGTGTTCAGCTCTAAAAGAAACAGGTGGCTAAGGCACAAGCCAACTAGATGTGTTACTAATGGAAGGAAGGGCTGTTCACATCTCAATCTCTTTCCTTTGAGCACATCCAGGTTTCTCAAAATACCACCCTTTAAACCAGCTCCTCTCAATATCACCTGCCCATCCCACACATGGGAGCCAACATATGCCCCAATTTTATCTCTGCTGACTTCTTTGATTCCCTGCCACCTTGCCTTATCTCCCTCCAGTTCCACCAGAATCACTGAGTGGGGACAACCTCTTCAAGACCAACTCTGAAGACCCCAACAACAATGGTCTGTAGCCAATTCTCTCCACCATTTTTGAGCCAATGGACTCTTTCATTCCCCTCCTCTCCAGCCCATCTTAAATCTCTCTCTAATCTTGACTTCTCTGGAAATGTCCTTTCTTATCTTCTTCTTGCCATTTCCTGATCCCTTTTTTCTTCCTTACTCTTAGGTGTGGTCACACTTTTGTCCACATCCCCGTAAAGCAGTTCATCCCATAAGAGAGAAAGATGCTTCCACCCTTACCCCATGGACCTCTCAAAACTCCTTTTCTAATGCACCTTTCAAGGGAGGAGCAATTGCTTGTCTAGTTGATAAGAGCCTGACATTCACTGGGTCAAGATTCACTAGTGGGCAGGGTCATTGCCTATCAAGGGGGTGCATGTCACTGAGCCCACTCTCTGTTCCTGCTTCTCTGCCTACAGTCAAGAGCCTGCGCCACACACCTGCCAGCTCAGAGTTAGAAGAAAAAGAGCTGGAAGCCTACTCAGATCTCCCAGCCTCACGCCTCCTTCTCCAATTCAACTTTTACCAGATTTCTCCATTGCATTGTGCTGAGTCTCCATGAATCCAAAAATTTCACTTTCAATATAGTTACTGCATTTTGTATGTTGCTCCTTTAGTCAAAACTTCAGGAGAGAGGAGGGTTCAGTGGTAAAATTTAGATCCCCAAATCACACCTCAAACCCCTGCTGGAAATGGCCCCTCTTCTCCTTCTTCATGCCTTCAGCAGATGGCTGGCCCCTTTTTATGCATAAGCCCTCCAGGCTCTGATTCGCTGCACCTCTCCATGGCTCAGTACTTCCTACAAAACAAAATTGATTCTCTGTCCCTCCTGAAAATGGGACAACAGTGCTAAAGGACGGGCTTGATTTGGTGGAATGTAAGATCACAGCTTAGGACCAGAAAACCAGATGTCTGCTTCCATTACCCACCACATGGTCTTGACCAAGTCTCTTAACTACCCTATGCTGCCATCACTTCATCTGAAAGTTACAGGCTGCTCTAGTAGACCCTAAGTGGGTAAGGCCCTTTCCAGTTTTGGAATCACCTACACGCTGATGGCAGAGCATGGCTACTCCCCACTTTCTTCATCCCAGAAAGGAGCCCCCCACAACTGAGAGGTGGCTGGAAAAACTCTCAGCCACACATAGGGATTCTGCTAGGCTGCAAACCATTTAAAATGAATGTTTAATAAGACACTGCATCAGTTGTACACTGCAGCTGAAAGTGCTGTAGCCCAGGAGACCTGAAAGAATTAATACAATTCCCACAGGAGCTGGTGGGAATTGCTGAGGCAGAGGCAGAATCTGATTTGATGAATACAAAAGTGCCTGGAGAGCGTCAAAAGGGAAAGTGTGGTAAGGAATGTCTGCTCGCTCCACTAGGATGTCTCCTGCTATCTAAGGAACACTCTCCAAGAAGGTGTTGGGGCTGGGGGACCACAGAACACGAGTACACTCACGCTTTCCTCTCCTTTTCATCCCCCAATTTTTCCCTGGGACTTAAGGGTGCAGAGCACCCACAACTCCAATCCTGCCCTTTTTTCTCATTCCTCACATTACTTCTCCCAACCTTCCTCCCTTCCTCCCTCCACTTCAGCGCAATTCCCAAACCAGGCCCTCCCAACGTCTCCCTCAAATCTTGGAATCTCTCTCTTCTCTTCTCCAAACCAATGCTCCCAGGCGGCCTACGAAAAGACCCTCCCTCTCATTTTAAACCAAGAGATTGAGACACACTTTTCTTCATTCTGAAACTCTTCGTCTTCAGCACCAAAACCCATCATCGGGGACCCAACTCCTCCATCTGAGCCCCTGCTCTGAAGTGTGAGACCCACACAGGGAACAGGTAAGGACGATTCCAGGCTCTCGGTGCCCTGGGTCTGGATTAGTCCCCTCCACTCACAGCCTCTCCCTGAAGCAACAAGTCTCTCCTGTGCGCCTCCAGCCCCGGGCTCCTCGACTGCCCATTTCTGTTCCTCTAACGGGCGAGAGTCTGGGGAAGTGTAACATTTCTCTGCCCTTCTGTGTTTTACCTAAAAACGTTGCATTTTATTTCATAACATACCTACATTGAATATTTTTCAAAATAGTTTCAGTCGCTTACCACGAGAGGGAAAAAATAGACATTTTCCCCCGCAAAACAATCAGGTAAAATTGATAGTATAGGAATGTGAGCCATACTGTCTCACGTGCTTCCAAGCTCGTCTCTGTGCACTACTTGGAAATCTCCAAACATTCTTATACCGCCTCCCCCCACCATTTTCTGTGTTTTCCGCGTTCTTCCCGGCACACCCAAGTGCCTCTGAGTACCCTACTTTCAGAACCAAGGCAAGAGGTATTTCCACTCAGTTCCGGGTTGGAGAGGCAGGACCCGCTTCTCACCAGGGCCAGTGGCCACGACCCCCCACTTCAGATCAAGACAGATGCTAAGGGCGCCTGAGGACCTGCGGTGGCTTCTGTATAGTTTGCGCGCTCTCAGGTCGCGGCAGCCCATCACCTCCGGGCCTTACCTTGTCAGCCATGATCATAGATGAGCCCCCGTGGATGCCCAAGATGGGGACGAAAGTCTGCGAGGAGATAAAATCCAGCATCTGGGCCACGGCCTCCTGGTCGGTGTCATCCCCAAACACGAGGCCATGAATGCGCGCCCCGGACATGAGGTCGCACACATGCGTGATGAGGCTCTTGGGGTCGGTGCGGTTCATCAGCAGCGCTACCACGTTCACGTCCAAGGGCAGCCCTGCCGCCTGCTCCGGGCCCCACAGGTTTCGAAGTTCGCGCTCCGTCACGTCGTGGCTGTGACCCAGTAGCACCGCTATGTTCAGCGCGGGGGGACCCTTCTCCGCCGCCGCGCCCTGCGCGGGACCGCGCCAGACCAGAAGGGCCGGCAGCACCAGCAGGGTCCAATAGCCCAGTCTGCCCATAGTCGCCACTTACGGTCCCTGCAAGGGGAAGAGTGACAGGCAGAGCCGCGGTGACCAAGGGGTCCAGAAAAAAGGGATTACCGACCCGGCTCCCTGTTCCAGGAGCCAGGTATGCAACCCATCCCGGCACGGGCTGCTGAAGTCACTGACTTCATTCCCCATCCTCGACGCCGTCCACATGCCTCGACCCATCTCCAACTCTGTCTACAACTCCAATCCGAGCTAATTCTCCGTCCCTGTCGCCAAGCCCATTCTCGCATCCAGCCTCCTTCTCATCCCCTGTCTCCAGCCGTTTCCCCATCCCCGACTCTGTCCACTTCCCGCACCGCACTCCCCAAGTTAGCTGCAGACCACAGCCCCTGAGCGTCCGTAGAGCCATGGACCCCACCCAGCTCGCAGGCGCACCGAGCAAGCCCTCTCTCCTCCCCTCTCCCGCCCGGGGTCTTGCGGACCAAGTTACCGACCCCGCCCCCTGCTCCGGAGGAGCGAACTACGGCCCAGCCCCGGCGTGCGGAGGCGGAGCCCAGACCCACATCACCGCTTCCGCGCTAAACTAGTTGGCTGACCCCGCCCCTGCGAACCCTCCGGGTGCACCCCAGACCTAGCTGCAGGCCACGCTCCTCTCCTGCAGGGTACACCCAAGCGCTTGGGAGTGAGGACACTCGCTATGGGCCCAGGCTCTGCGGTGTCTGGGGAAACTTGGGGTCCGCCCCACCTCGCGCGGAGGGCCCGCGACCCCAGGACCCGCCCCCTACACGCACGCGTGCACACACACGCGCGCACATATACGCACACCCTCTCACGCGCGCCGTGTGCAATGCAGAATTCCGGAGAGTAGGCGCATACCCCCGGCGGGCCAGCGCGTGGGAGCTGGCAAAGAACGTGCGTGGGGGGAAAGGTAGGCTCCCAAGAAGCTCTCAGACGGACGTGGACTGTACAGCCCCTCCCCAGCCTTTCCACTGCGGGACCTGCTGCCAAGTCTTAGGTGCACGTGGGCAGTGGGCTGCACACGCTCACAGACACGCGCGCTTTTGTGCGCACAGCCGCAAGCCGCCTCAGCAGTGCCCACTGCTAGCCGGAGTCCTCACACGTCCTCAGGCGGTGCACACACATGGACCGCGCCAGGTGCACAGCCGCGCGTGCCTGCAAATACCAGGAGAGTCGTGCACGCGTGCACAGGCGCGCGCCCCTCGGGCCGGGCGCTGCGGGAGCCGGGGGAAGTTGGGGCAAACTCGCACCGGCCCCGTGTTCTTCGGGTGAGCACCGCGGAGCCGCAGCGCCCCCTAGTGCCCCTCCCGCGCCTCGCTAGTGGGCTCCCTCTCCCGCTCTCTCTCTCCTTGATCCCCGGGCCGGGAGCTGCGGGAGCCGGGGGAAGTTGGGGCAAACTCGCACCGGCCCCGTGTTCTTCGGGTGAGCACCGCGGAGCCGCAGCGCCCCCTAGTGCCCCTCCCGCGCCTCGCTAGTGGGCTCCCTCTCCCGCTCTCTCTCTCCTTGATCCCTCTCCCGCTCTCCCTCCGGTCGAGTCTTCCTCCTCCCGGGCCCAACGAGCCCAGATCTCCCTCTGGGACGTACCTGTAGCCGGAGAAGGTCGAGGATGCAGTGGGGCGCGCTGCGCGCACGAGCATCTCGGCCGCCTCAGCAGCCACCGGGTTTAGCGGGTTCCCGCATGCTGCGGCCCCCGCGCGCTCCCCTGGCTGTCCCGCGCTGTCCGCATCGCCCCCACGGGGGGCGGCTATCCCAGCCGGAGGCTCTGCAGCAGGGCTCTACCGGGCGGAGGAGAGATGGAGAGGCAGGGTCAGCCCACCGGCGGGGGAAGGGAGGTGGGAAGAAGCTGCAGTCTGCAGTGCTCACACCCCGCTGTGTGCCCAGGAGGCTCGACCAAAGAGAAGGAGCTGAACCTCTGTGCCCAAGACGCCCCCAGTGCGGATCCTCAGACCCTGTGGCTGACAACGGGAGCTCTGCTCCGGGGCGCACAGCAGAATGGGAGCCCCAGGTTGTCCATCCACGAGAAGCTAACTGGAAACCACCACCCTCACCCCCTACCACCTCCCCGGCGCCGGCTGGGAGTTGTGCGACCAGAAAACGCTAAACGAGGGGGGTAGGGAGAGAAAGAGGAGGGATGGGGGCTGGGGGGCCGCTGGCTGAGTTTGTGACGAGCTGGCAGGAGGAGAGGGGGAGGACGCGGGCTGCCGTGGTCCCAGATCCCCGAGGGAGGCGCGATCATTCCCACGCGGCGACCTTCTTACGGTCCTGCCGCCCCCTCCTATTCCGGTCTTCCACTGTCCCCTTCCGAAGGGGACCTCCCAGGCCCCGCATGCCCCGCCAGCACTCACCGCAGCCTCTCTCCACATAGTTCTCAGCAGTGGCCGCTCCTGGTCATCTCCAGGGCTGATGGCTGCGGCCGCGACCCTCAGCGCTCACCGAGGCCCATGCTCCGACTAAGCCCTCGGCGCCTCTTTCCAAGAGCCGGAGCTCGGCTTCCTGCCCCACTCGGGACGACAGCTGTCCGGTGCTCCGAGCGCGCCCGAGCACTCTCTCCGCAGCCCAGCTCCGAGCTGGTGTGTGTGAGGGCGAGTGCGCGTGTGGGAGTGAGTGTGGGAGCGCGCGCGCGCGTGTGGCCGGGGATCCCCGCGGTCCCCGGCCGAATGAGCAGCGGGAGGGAGAAGCAGCTCCCTCCGGGCCCTTTACTGCGGGGCCAGCTCCGCGCCGGGCGTTCGGCTCCCCACTTCCCGGCGGGACTCCGGAGAATGCCTGGCCACCCTGGCTCACAGCACTGGCAAAGCTGGGTTCCTGGGGCGTGCTTTTGCTGCGGTCGCCTCCGAGGAAGAGGAGAAGGAAGGCAGGGGCGTCCCCCACACCAACTTAGAGACTTGTTCTCAGCCCCCGGCGAGACGCAGCGGCCCCCGCACAAGCCGAAGAGGCTTGGATCCCCGGAGGGGAAAGCGTCTCCTGCCCGCAGCAGCCGTCCCCGGAGGCGGGCCGAGGCAGACCCCGCAGTCCCTCGGCGGCGGCGCGGAGCGAGGCCACCCGCTCCTGGGGCGCCGGATAGGTGACTGGCTGGCGACAGGGGCGCCTGTGGCTGCGGGCGCCGCTGTCCGTGGTGCTAGATCCACGCTCTCCGCCCGTTCCCGGGCGTCTGGTGAGGCTGAAGAATCAATTATTCAGATCTCAGCTACCGCTTCCTCCTCCCCCAGAGCCTCGCGCAGGGTACAGCAATCCCCCCTCCACGCACAGGCGCGCCGACACACACACACACGCGTGCACACATACATGCACGCACAGAGTCTGCTCCAGTGCTTCTCCCAGAGCCTCGCCACCCCCGTACGGGAACCCACTCCTCTGATCTCAGGGAGCCAGAATCCTAAAAGCAAAGACATTTACATCTCCCAGCTGCTTACTTGTTTTTCCTAAGTTGTGCTAAACAAAAGTCTCCCTGAGGTTGCCACTTGTAAGCAACCAGAAGGGGTGGGCCAGACAGCACGGATGGCCTGAGTGTGCGGGGCTGGCTGGCTGGGATTCTGGTAACTGGGCCTGAAAGTCATAGTCAGGTGAGGACCTTTGCCCCCTTTACACTCACCTGTGTCTCCAACAGCTCGTCTCTGCCTTTCTCCCCTCAAGTTCTGGAAGGAAAGTGGTCTTCTAAGAGGCTTCGCTATCACTGTTCTAATCCTTCCTCCTCCACTTAGTCTAATGTCACCTGCTATGGTCTAAATGTTTGTGTCCCCCAAAATTTATATGTAAAAATCCCAACCTGCAAGGTGATGGTATTAGGAGATGGGGCTTTTAGGAGGTGACTAGGTCATGAGGGCCAAATGGGATTAGTGTCCTTATTAAAGACACCCCAGAGCACTAGGTAGCCTCTTCCACCGTTTGAAGACAGCCAGGAGATGCAATCTATGAGTCAAAACCCCAGACCTCACTGAACAGGAATTTGCTGGGCCTTGATCTTGAACTTCCCAGCCCCAAGGAAAATAAACTTCTGTTGTTTATAAGCTATACAGTTCATGGCGTTTTATGTGGCAGCCCAATCAAACTAACACATCACCTTTGGGCCATTATTTATCTTCCCTTATCAATTGCTAATCTGGAAAATGGGGGACAGTAAAAATACCTATTTCTTATGGCTATTTTGAAAAGGAGATAGCCTTGGTAAAGGAGTCATCAAGGCCTGGCATATAGTAGGTGCTCAATAAACATGAGGTCCTTTCAAAGTAGCCTGAAAAGGGGGACTACTTCCAGGAATGTGGACATGGCAGCTAAAATGGAGACAGGAAAGAGGCAGTTACTTGAGACCTATGGATCTATTATTGAGCTGGTTGTTTATGTTGAATCCCCGGGTTTTATTATCTAAAAGACAGAGAAAGGGTGGGGGAAATCCTGGAAGGTAAATGAAGATGGGGGATTGTGCAATATAAGGCAGAGGACAAGAAGGTGTTTCATTTCTCGAGGCTGTGGCTGGCCTAAACTGTATTACGTCCCTCCCTAGTGTGAAGATGATCATTCTTGGACTTTGGCACAGGTGCAGAACTCTAATTTGGGGACCTATGGGAAGTTAGACTGCTTTACTTAAATGAGGTATAAATTATATACAATAAAATGCATATCTTTTAAGTTTTCAGTTTAAGTTTTGATATCGTGTGCATCTGCATAGACCATCAAGTAAAATGAAGTACAAAATAGTCTTACCATGCCCAGAAAGTTCCCTTGTTAATCCCACTCCCCACACCAAGTAGAAATTACAGTTTTGAGTTCTAATGCCATATAATAGTTTTGCCTTTTTTTTTTTTTTTTTTTTTTTTTTTGAACTTCATATAAGTAGAATTCTACACGGTGTATTCTTTGGTGACTGGCTTTTTTCATTTAACCCGATCTCTGGAAGACTCATCCATGTTGCTCCATGTATCAACAGCTTTTTATTTTTAGCTGCTGAGTAGCCAGCTTTCTGTTGTATGAATAAGCCACACTTTGTGTATCCAGTCTCTTAGTATCTGTGGAGCTTTTTAAAATACAGATGCCTACGCCCACTTTAGATCTGCTCATCAGAATCTCCAGGGGTGGGGCTAAGCACTGACATTTGTTTTAAATCCATGGACACTTTTTATGATGCCTCTACACTTTCCATTCTTGTGTATCAATGCTGACCATGAAATCGATTAGTCCTTGATGAAAACTATTGGTATGAAGCGTTTGACATTATCTGTGACCAGACTTGTAGAAAGGTAGATCAAATAGGTGTAACCTCTTTTGAATAAAGAAAGAAGACAGCCCTTCGTTCTAAGGAATGGCCTGTCTCTGCAGATAAACACAGGCAGCTGGAGTTGCACTGGGGTGGACAACTCCCCAGTGTGGAGAACCATCTTTGATCGGGCAACTGGAACTTCACCACACATGCAGAGACTAACATGGTATGTATGGGATCACGACAGCTCTACCTCATGCTATGCTGCAAAGCGAAACCCACCAGCCAGCTTTGGATGCTGAGCAGGATTTTGCTACTTAAGAGTTTCAGATGGAAAACCTTCTTCACAGAAGAAGCTATATCAACAAAGACTATGTCCAAAAAAAAAAAAGGCAACACTGTTCTGCAGCCAGTTTTCCCAATTGGTTATATCACCAGTCACATTGTTAAAGCAACTGAAATAATCTAGTCTGGTCTTAAGGAACAACTTGTGTCAACTGTTTTCAGTCTAATTGATTTCTCTTTTAAGGTTCTACTAAAGAAATGACCGTAATGTTGCCACTTGCCTTTAAGCCTCTTAAAAATTGTTAAAGATGAACCACCATATCACGTCTACAGCAGAGAACTGAAATGAGCCAATCATTGATTATGCTTCTCTTTATGCCTCTATTGTCTAGGAAAATTAATAAAGAATTATAGCATTTTGAAGCTGAAAGACCTTTAAGACTGTCCTATCTGGTGTGTTTTCTGTTTTCAAGTATGTGGTAAACTGAGTCACTTTACAGTGAATTCTTATATTAAAGGATCTGAGAAGTCATGCAGTTAAAAATGCTTTTTTAATCCAGCAACCTTCCAAAATAAAGTGATCATGGAAGCCTATTTATTTCACATAATAGTGCTACCATCCTACAGAAATATTGAGGTGGGGTTTTTTTTTTAATGCTTTTTGAGAAATTATGACTTGGCTGAACACTTTTATTTTGCATATTTGGAAACTGAGGCTCAAATGGACTAATCAACTTTAGTGCTTTAGACAAGAGGTTAAAGGCAAAAATTGGAGTAGGATTCAGAACTTTTTTTTTTTTTTTCCTTTTTGTCTCTTTTTTTTTTCATGTCCGGCAACGGACCGCAACCCTCAGTGTCGCGCCTGTACCGGACAGGGACCGGCAACAGGATCGCAACCCTTGGTGCTGCACCCGCCCCTCGCTCAGCCAGTGAGCGGGAACCAGTCTGTATGTGGGATCTGAACCTTCGGCGGGAGTGCCGCCACGCTCCCAAGCGGCGCACTGTAGCAGTGCGCCACCGGGCCGGCCCCAGAACTTTTGATTTAAGTGCCTGCTGTGTAAAATGAAGTGTGTTTACAATCTGCAAGGTTATAGAGATTCCAAAGTAGCATGATGGAATACTGAGAGAAAAGATTAGAGCAAAAAATCAAGTAGGGTTGCTGAGTAACCTGAATGCCAGACTAGGCACTATTTTGTCACTGGTGATCACATCCATCATCCCTCCAAATTCTAGCCTGTGGGTTCTAACACTTAAGCATTTCCTACCCTATCTTAACCATGGTCCCAGCCTTCCTGACCTTGTCTTTATCTTGTGGTAGATTAACAGTGTTTACCTACCTTATGCCAAGGCAGACATTACTAATCAATTCTTGAACTATTACTCTCAAAATTTAGACAGGGCTTCACAAATTTGCTCAGTTCTGTGTTCTTGGTAGTCCCATCAATTGATTAGAGTTGGCCCCAAATTGCCATTCCCACCTTAGCAAGTTCATGTGGTTTCCTGATTTTAGCACAACTTGACTCTAATCACCTCTATTTTCTTTGTTTTCTCTCAGATCTTAACGTCTGCGTTACCGGCCTGGTAACCTTAAGGACTTTCTCGTCTTTAGACCTCAGTTTCTCCATTTGTAAAGGAAAGGTTTAGACTAGCCAGGATGACCTCAAAGCTGCCTTCCACATTGGACATTCTATGATTCTGTGACTTCTCCTGAAGGTCTGAACCCTGGGATCAACCAAGCTGCTAGTTAACCCTTCCATATTATCTTACCCAAAAGGCTTAAAATCCCTTCCTGCTCTCGTGACCCATTCATGTATCAATCGTTCTCATTAAAGGGCAAGGCTTTTCCTAAACAAGCCCACTGGTAGTCTTGAGAACTGAAATGAAGACAGCGGTAGAAAATTTCCTTCTTCATTGGTCTTTGCCCAGTGTTCTGTTATATATCAGACAGGAACCTACCAGACACCAAGGTGTTCTGCTGAGAAAATGACAGTGAACTGGGAGTAGGAAGTCCTGTATTCTACCACTTTGGGAAAATTAACTAACTTCTCCAGGCCTCAGTTTCTTCATCAGTGAAATGGGAGTAAAGTCACCCTCCCGCCCCCAGCACTGTAGTGAAGGTCGTATAGGGATGTGTCTTAGCAGAATGTACCTATTATTCCTCTGCATGGCAAGAAAGCTGGGAGACCCATCCACCCCCTCATCCCTCATTGGCTGAGGTTACTCCCCAGGCTTCCAGCCTATGCTCTACATGGAGAAATGCAGGAAGCCATCAGCATGCACGTGAATGTTCCATGAGTAACCTTTGGGGGGGCAAGGACATGTGAGTGGGGCACTGACCACACTGCTTGACAAACCAGAAGGACATGAACAGAGGGCAGACACCAAAGTGTGTGCGGCTAAGGGAAAGGGACAGAGGGAGAGAGATGGCTAGACCGCCATTATGAAATGGCCTGAGTCTTTTACTTCTTGGGCTTCAGAGAGGAGGAAGCAAAACATGTGTGTCATCTTTTAACAGTTGGTCACCTGCCCACATGACTCCATCAGCATCAACCAAATAAGCAACTCTTCCTCTAAGAGAAAGACAGCAGGGGCGCTCTTCCCTGTACCCACGCGGGCCATGCTCTGAACACAGAGGAAGCACCTGGGTGCTTCTTCACAGTCACCGTTGTAGGGCAGCTTCCATGCCCAGAAGAGGCCCAGGCCTCCCCTTTAGGAAACATCTTCCCTTACAAGCTCACTTTCC